AGAATTTTTTCAGAATTTTTGTACGAAATTAAATAGGCAAAAAGGGCCAAAAACCGGAATTTCGTTTTTTCCCTTTTACTACCCTCACGGATGAGATAGGGGGTTGAAACTTGGTGTGAGATGTTTTTTTGGGATATGCTACCGACTGACGAGTTGGGTCTCAAATTCGACTCAAGGGCACATTTGACCACCTTATCCGGCTATACCCTTTGAATAAATTGTAAAATAAGGTTAAGAAAAATTTTTTTATTATAAATAAATTACATTTTGCAAAATTCGTTAACATCCTGTTATTATACGGAAAAAACCATACAACTTTCCTATTAGAAGTTTTAGTGTATCTCGTGTAAGACGAGGTAGAAAATGATTGACACGCTAGCTGAGTTCGATTTCAAAAATACTATATAGTATATTCTATAAGCTGCTTCCGTGGGCGAATCAGTGTCCTCGAGAGAAGGATGTCTTTCCAAGGTCTGTAGACGAATGCCCTCTTCCCGTTCCGCGAGGTTTCCTAGTCCCCGCGAAACTTGAGGCCCCAGGGTTGTTTTATGGCCCGGACGTCACAGCGTCAGGCCTCCACCCCGTGGTGGTCGTCGTAAGACGGCCATGTGCCCGTCGTCCCTGCTTTATTAGGGTGGGTCACTGGGAATTTTCTAACACTCGTATGGTTTCCGAGATAGCCAAAACGGGTCGAAACTTTAAGGGGTTGTTTCACCTCTCAAACCCGCGTCTCAACCGACAAAAAATAAATGTGTCCTTTATTTTTGCCTGCTTAACAAACGTACGAAGTTTCAACAAAATCGGAGGGGGACACTTCCGTGCCCTCCCTTGTTAGTAACGAATAATTTATTGCAGTTTGGCGAGAAACAGTGTTTAAGTATTTCGTAACAACATAGTATGTACATATATACAATGTATTTTGTGAGGTGCAACGTATTTTGCGACGGAAATTTTCGACGATTCGAGGCGTCGAATATTTGAAATCACGAATGTTTGACGAATCGTTAGGCGTTTGTTTTTTGAGGGACGCGTGCGTTTTGCACGCATGCCTTTGGGAGAATCTGCGGAGACGCCGAGATGAGTGGACGTTCGCGACCTTATAATTAATTGTTTTTTAGAATACCATTATTCGACTGTAAACATTTCTTTGTATATTAATCTGATTGCGCACCTTTCATTTTTGACACTGTATAATGAATGTAAAGCCTGAGCATGACAGTATATCGATATCAATTATTACACATCGATGCGGTTGTGCGGTTGTTTTTGAAGCGAGCGCGAATAGTGATCGTTTTGAATTGGTTGTGAAGACAATTGTAATTCTCGCCGGTCAAGGGACGTAAACAGGATAACGCGCGGTCCAGAAGACGTGAATAAGATAAGCTTGAAACAATAACGCAGTTTGGAGATAAGAACAGAATATAAAACCAGGAGCAGGTAGGCGCGTGCCAAACTAAAAGAATCAGAGTTCGACACAGTTATAATTAGAGCCAGATCGTGTTGCGAGTCGATATACTGCGGAGTCGGATATCGAGAGCATTCGATCGATACTTTTGTAATAATAATCATTAACATTGTAAAGTAGTGCGGATAAATAATAAAGTGTTTTTTTAAAACCTAAACGGAGCAATCTCGTGCGTAACATAATAAATAATTTATTCATTCGTTATTAAGATTTCGTGAATTACGGTTGTATTCTGAACATTATTAAATCCTGATATTATATTTTTAGTTCCGTTCTCTCATTTTTCGTCATCCTCTTACACGACCATTTTCTCCTGTGAATTTTTGAATTTATACGAGCGAACTCTTGTACGAAACAATAGTTAACTATTCAATTATCACGCAGACTCATTTTGTATTCCATTTTACAAGTTTTACTGTATAAATTATAAGTACTTTTACATAGTGCACTTGTGTTATTCATTTTAAATTTCTTGGCGCACAAACAAAAACATTAAGGTAATCTTAATTTTTGTAAAAAAGAAATTGTAATTTAGCTTCTTATATCAAGGTTTATAATCGATTGAATATCAATTAACTTTTATTGAAAAAATTGATTTATCAAATTATCAGAAGTGTCTGAAAAGTCATGCTGAGAGCAGAGCAATTGCAGTGAAAGACTAACCAAAAATATTGTCAGATACTTATACAAAAGCTTAACATACTCCAGCACACTTCGTCCTTAAAAATAAAAACATCCATATATCACCCAGTCCTTTCCCAAGCTTTCCTCATCATGACATAAAACAGACAACCTTTGGGTCTCAGGGTCCGTCGTGCCATAACACGTTCCGTGCCGCGTGGGGCGTATGCGTTAAGAATGATAACTGGTGCTATGTGAGTGGCGAGAGACCATGTCCGAGATTTCGTGACGATGCCGATGTCACATGGAACGAACACGATTTTTTTTAATGACGCGAAATTAAGTCCGTAGACGCGAGATTCGGTCAGAGGTATTACGTATTAAATTTTTACTGTTGAAATGAACCTTTCTTCATAGCCCACGGGCCCTTATATATCGGTAGGTATTTTGTGGAGGGGACTTATCGGTTTCGGGGGTTTGCTTATGACTGACTATTGAAAGTAGTGGCCGCTGACTAATGGTTGTTGACGGGATGATGTTATTGGTGATTCAGGGTGTGACAAAGTTCGGGGTGACTTCATGTTTGCGTGAGTGCGTCACACCGACGACGCAACAACTCGAGCAGCCAGAGCATTATACATAGAAGGAGGATCACAAGGCAAAATTTGACTTAATTCTAGCTATAATTCCCTCTGTTTTGAAACAGGTATGTGGTTGTAAAATATCTAAAGATGTGTGGGATAAATTAATATCCATATACAATCCGAAAGGTCCCGCGCGTAAAGTAACGTTACACGTCTTATTCAAACAAAAATGTTGAAAGTGAGAGGTTGGTTTTACATCAAAATGGGTTGGTAAGAGTGTTGAGTGAGTGAAGTTGGTATGATCGGGATATTTTTTGAGTTGGTATGAATGTAAAAAATAAGAGAAAATCAGGGATTCTCTGACATTGTGTGTATGCTATGGGTAAGAAAGATGTCCCTTCGATGAAAGTGAGTGAAACGAGCTAAATGTTAAAATTATATTTGTTGATTATTAATTAAATATTAAATATTATAAAAAAAGGAATCCACATATTTTTCCCCCACAGCAAAATGGGGACGTTAAGATACACATCGCTCAATTTCTCGATGCCGTCTACAAGTTAGAATCCATGGATGTACAAATTAACGGAGATCTTCTCTCGATTATGCTTCTACATAGTCTACCTAGTAGTTTCGAAAACTTTAGATGTGCGGCAGAGTCTCTCGATGCACTGCCAAACGCTGAGCAGTTAAAAATGTAAATCATAGAAGAATACGAAGCGCGAAATCAAGTCATCGTCAATGAATCAGGTGCGATGTTTGCTCATGGCAGACGTAATCCGAATGAGATATTCAATAAAAATAACACGAAAGCATCCTTTACAAAAGTATCTTTTCGTTCTAAATATAAATGCTCCTTCTGTAAGATTATAGGTTATAAACACGCTGATTGTCGTAAAAGGAAAACGCAAAAAGCTGAAAAGCAAATAATACCAAAGTTGAAAATTTCTTCGCTGATGTTGTTTAGTATTCATCTTCCAAGCCTTTTAGGAACGTAAAAGCAAATCAGTGATATCTCGATAGCGGATGCACGTCACAGTTATACAAGGATGGCCGAATACTAACAAATTGAATATCCACATAAAGTGACATCAGGTTAGCCAACAATGCAACAAGTACGGTAAATACAAACGAAAATGTAGAGCTTTTTACAAGCGCTAATAACAAAACTAAAAGAATTCTACTAGAAAACACGGTGCATGTTTCAGATCTTAAAACGAGCTTATTATCAGTAGCTAAGATTGTAGATAAAGGCTGTGAAGTCGTGTTCTGCTCAAGGAAAGCATTCGTAAAGGACATTAAGGGAAATATTAAGCTAACTGCTGAACGTCAAGGTGACTTATTTATTCTGAAAGAATCCGGTGAACAAGCTAGTACAGTCTCGCAGACGAAATACTCTGATACTGAAATCTGGCATCAACGTCTTGGTCATCTTAATTTAAGAGATTATATTTAATGTAAAAAACTCAAGCGGTACCCGGATTTAAATTGAACAATAATTCCGAATTTTCGAATTGTGAAATATGTATTACATAGAAACTAACAAGTTTACCATTTTCATTTTGAGCTAACAAATCAAAGCACCGTCTCGACATCATTTAGTCGATCAATGCGGGTAAGTTCAATTTGAGTTGCGCAATATTCCATGACGCTTATCGATGATAATTCAAGATGGAGTCAAGTCTATTTTCTAATGAGTAAGGATGAAGCAACAGGCAAATGTGTCGAATTCAAGAACTTCGGCGAAAATCAGATAGATCTCAAGGTGGAAGCTTTTCATTCGAATAACTGAAAGGTGTTTTGGAATTCCGTCATGGATCGAATATTGCAAGATTGTAGAATTCAATGACGGTTAACCATTCCACATCATGGAACGGAATCGCTGAGCGCAAAAACAGAACGTTGATTGCAAGCGCTTGTTGTCTATTGACACAACCTGGACTTTCAATGCAATTTAGGGCAGAAGACTTTGCAATGTTGACGTATGTACTTTTTGGTACGTTGTTTGTTAATTTATTTATATATAGATATGTAAATAAATCTCGCTGTAATTTATTCTACTAGTACTATGTAGTAGTTGCTGAGCCTCTCGTTTGACACACGTATATTTCAGTTACATCTTTTGACTAAAAATGTGAAATTTTTTTGTGTTGGCGTACCTTTGTTCGATGTCAATTTTTTTTCAAAACTGATAACTACAATTTTACAATAGTACAATTCTTCAGTTTCAAAACGATAACGAAAATGTTACAGATTTCAGAGGAATATTACACAAACTGAAGAAAATTGTTGACTATTATAAGATTTATAAAGCATTATTAGTTCTAAGCGAAGATTTCTGCTGAGGAATGTCTATGTGATTTCTGGGATTCCTGTTCTCGTAAAAGAATATGGAAGAACAGATCGCAACATGGATCAAGCAATTGGAACAATACGACTTTGAAATAAAACATCGGGAAGAAAGAAATCATGGAAATGCAGACAGTCTATCAGGAAAACGATGTGAAACTTTGTGTCACGTTTGAAAGAAAACGAGAATGAAGAGCAACACCGCATTTTGAGAACTCTGTGTCGATTTGCGGATTTAACAGAAATAAAAGAAGTAGAAGCGAGTAAAGATTTTGAATTAGAATATTTCACCAAGAAAAGTAAGACGATCACTTAATATAATATTATTCTATATGTATGAATTTTCAAATGTATGTATTTTGAATGAATATATGTTCTGTGTGTTGTCCAGTGGCTGGCAAAAGTAATTGCGTAGAATTTTTAGAAGTGAATTTAGATATATTTTATTACTTTTAGATGTCATTTGGTGTGTAAAGCCATACATGTTGAAATTTATCTCATTTTCAATTCGTCACTATAAGTGTGAAATTAAAGTAGTTAGAAATATTATAAATTTAAGCATGTCATGCAGAATATATTTATATCAATAGAATATAAATTAATTATATTATTAATTTATGATTAATTATTTAATGGGAAGTGAAACTGATTATAAATGTAACTTTTTTTTTAAGTTAAACTATCGGTTTTGTTTTTTAATATGAAATTTGCTAAACGCTGAGAGAATTCTTAAGAAAAAGAATACCTGAACAACGGAAATATTATACATTTCATTAACCATTATAATAATTCATTAATTTTGAAAACGAGGCAAGCCCATTCGGGTATAACAAAGTCTTAATTTTTTTGGCTAGCACTCTAAAGACTATTGTACAATAAATATACATTATCTAACACTACAAAATACAAAAAATTGGTCTATTAGTGCTTACCAATATTTTCTAATTTATTAAAATACAAACCCTCAAATATCTCTTAATAACAAAAATAGATTTGCTCCACTTTTAAAATAAACGGATCTTTGTTTACAATTTGTGAAAGATGTTTATGTGAAAAATAGTTTATATTATTGGGTTGCTGGTAATGCCGCCGGAAAAGGAAAATTCAAATATTAATTAAAGTTAATAGAATTTTAATGTCAGTATTATACCTTTGTTCTTCAAAATTCGCGATCACGTAAATTCCTGTTATAGCCATGATTTATTTTCGTAAGGATATGCAGTCGGAGTAACAGGATTAAGGAATTCTAAAAAACAGGATTTATTGCGAAGTTTAGGAGATTGTACAGGAAATGCATTGTACATAGAACTTTTTTTCTTTTTCGCAACAACGTGACTACTTTTAAATGTCTTTCTATAACTCTAATCAATCAGACGTCCAGGAGTAATTCTGTTCTCTCCCGTTGGAATGGTGTTCAGGTGTTCTCGCCGAACTCTTCTGCCGGAGTTTCTCTACTAGCTATTGTCCAGGCAGGCGTCCAAGTATTACTCAGCAAACTCTGCAGCCGGAGTCCTTAACTATCGAATTCTTTCTCCAGGCAGGCGTCTACGTATTATTGTCGAACTCTCCTGCCGGAGCCCCTAGACTAGTCCAAGAATAGAAATGGTCCTTATTTCGTCCTCTCTCTCAGACTGTCAAATAGGCCGGCTCCTGGTCGCGGGCCTCTATTTTATATCCACTGGTTGCTATCCCGCGATTGCGTTATCAATAGATTCATCGTTAGATTCACAGCTCGCGGCTTCGTGTAACGCGCGTTGACTCTCGCTTCCTGGAGCAGCCTACAATCTCTCGCGTCGCGATACAATTCGGCTTTTTGAAAACGTTCGCTTTTTTAGAACATTCGCGACGCTGTATAATATTTCGATATATTCTTTATTATTAGTATGGGATTTCTTAATAGGTATATCTGATTTTTAACGAATAATTAATTTTATTCGCTCGCGTTTTACATAATTCTTTTCTTGTATGCTACCCTATCGAGAAAGAATTCGAAATGTAAAAAAAGAACAAAGAACGTGTAGGACGTGCAGTGTGCTTTGCATTCGAAGAAAGAAGAGAGCAAATCGTGAAGCAATGGAGCTATTATTGCTAACGGCTATTCCAATATAACACCAAGACAAAAATGTAGATGAGTTATATCACAATGATATTACTTCAGAATTAAGTTTAACATATTACCAATAGACTTTTCAAGGTACCAACAGAGTTATTTAATCGCGTACGAAGTCTTCTTGTATAGTTTTGAGGCCAGTGATATGAAACAGCCGATCATAATAGCTGAACGCGCGACTCGCCTATGTGAAATGGGAGTACCCCGCGTCCGTTTCCAGCTTGTAGAGACGTCAATTTTCGAGGCTCCATCGTTCTGAAGGGCTCATTTTAAAGGGGAAGCTTCAAAGAATATGACCATATTTTTTTTTAATTTTAACCCTTTACGCCCCTCATTGAGAAAAACGCAAAAAAAGAATTTGTTTAAATTTTTCAACATTTTATAACAAATTGACAAAGTTAAAAAAAATATTTTAAAATAGCCCAAACCTTCACGAATAAAACAAAAAAAAAGTTAGCTAAATCGGTTCAGTAGTTTCTGAGAAAAAAATTCCCAAATGGACCCCATTTTCGCCAAAACGGGCAAAAATTGCAAACTTTGACGACCTGTCATTCATTAACAAATTCGAAACCGGCAAAATGATGACTTAAACCCC